AGAGAGAGAGAGAGAGAGAGAGAGAGAGAGAGAGAGCGACAAATGCACACGGTACCACGGTTCGGAGATCCCGAAGTACACATTAAAAAGAGAGAAAAAGAATACTCACCTCGTCAAGGGCCATGGAGAAAGCACCGGAGATCGCTAGTCCCTGACGATCTTTCAGGCCGCCTTTGATCGCCGTGAGGTATCCAATGGTAAGATTCTGCTGTTTCCTCGGTTGTATGGTACGTCCGAAACTGGACTTCGGGTACGTTTGTCTGGAGATCGCCTGCTGCCACTCGGCCCCGGGTAATCCTGGCGGTTCCGCCAGGCCCAGGACCAGAGGGCTGCTGGCCAGCAGCAGCAACACCAGCAGGGCCCGCGAGCTGCTGCTGCCTAACGGCCGCGAATGGAGCAGCAACGGTTGCGGTTGATCTTGCCGGTGCCGTCGGTTACGTTCCTGATGGAGTTCCTGGCGACGGGGAGGCCTGCGGCGGCTCGGCTGTACTGGCGGGCCGGGGCGCATGGCCGCCGCCGCCACCGGTCAGCACCGCCTCCCTCCCGTTCACCTGAAATTCACACCTTTTCGTTTGCTATTTTCCTCTGAAAATCACTGGTAATAAATCCTGATATACGAAGAGTCATTTACACGAAGTGGTAGGAAAATATTGCTTGTAGACTAACAAGGGAAGGCACGGGAGTGTCCCATACGATTTTGATGAAACTTCGTATGGTTGTTAAGCAGTCAAAAATAAGGGATACGTATTTTTTTTTATCGGCTGAGACGCGACTTTAAGGGGTGAAACCACCCTTCGAAGTTTCGACACGAAAGTACTATCTCGAAAACCAGAGGAGATACATGAAAACTTCTAATGGACGAGGTTTGCGGTTTTTTATGTAGAATAATGTGGTGCTAACAAATTGTTCAGAATATAATTTGTTTATAACAAAAAAATTTCGGATCGAAACTTCGAGGGGTGGTTTCACCCCTTAAAGTCGTGTCTCAGCCCATAAAAAAAAATATGTATCCCTTATTTTTGACTGCTTAACATGATATACGAAGTTTCATCAAAATCAGAGGGGGACACTTCCGTGCCTTCCCATGTAAGTTAGTTAATGCAATCACTACTATCACACACATATTGTCTATCATACGGCGCAAACTGCTTACAAATGACAAGTTACAGTAGTGGTCCAAATTTAACAAACTTTCCCCATCTCATATAAACCCGCGTAACTGACAGATTTCGTCGTATAGAGCGATATATCCTTCTCAGGTGATCGCGGTTGCCGATACAGAAATTAGACAAGCAGCAAAGTGACTATCGCTCCTCCAGCTTCGGTCATTATCTCGCTACATTTTTCGCGATTCCGGTATGTCGTACAAAGAGATATATACAAATGGTTGGTTCGCTTTCGAAGTACCGTTTCAGCCGCTATCTTCCTGGCTGAATGCACTTATCATCTGGCGGCACTTACACGCCTGAGTCATCGTGTGTGCCATCTGCGCGCGAGGCTAATAATAACTGATACCCCTGAAACGATACAAACGCTGGTCGACTGCAACACACACGCTGCGACGACTAGCTTCCCCATCGATCCAGATTTTCCGCGTGCAACAATTCCGCGCTGTGGATAACGTACTGGACTAACATTCTCCCATGATCGATCCATCTCTCTCTCTCTCTGTCTTTCGTTACCGTGGAATTTATCTCGAGCTAATCGTCGTAACCTTGCTACTGGATGCCGCGTTAAAAGTGAGTCAACAATATAGTTCGCGAAAGAATACGCGTCGTCTGTTTCAGCTATTATCTTCCCCGATCGGATATCAATGATTCTCCGGGAAATCTTACGTCAGACACTGGTCATCCCACCAGCCATCGCGAATCATTTCCCCACTTATATATTCGATCGAATTCATTTATCATTGACGAGCTCGAACGCGACCATTTCGATTTTACACGCGGAAAGGATTTTCAGGAAATATACTCACGGAGGCCGTCGTAAATCACCACACGATCGAGAGGTCTGATCTTCAACGAAGAACGTCACCAACCGGAAGAAACCGTAATATTGCTCTCGGACACAATGTGTACAGACGTTCAGTTGATCGAGATCGATCGCTCTGAAGCAGCTTGAGAACCGCTGGACCATGAAACGCGACGAGATTCTCACCGCCGTTATTAAATACGAGGGGAGAAGCGACGATGACAATAACAATCCCCGATGATAATTTCGCGACGACACGACGCATGGAAAAATAACACAGTCGTCTCACGACGGCTGAAACGATTCCGCGTTCTTAGGCCTCGTTGGAAACGACGCGGCGGCGGAGGAGGAACACACGTGGCCGGGGGGACACACCTGTCGCGATTACGTAACCAAGACCCGCGGAGACACCGTAGGCGACTGCTCCCCGTGTAGGCCAGCCTATAACGACCTCAGCGGACAATAAAGACGTCTCTCTTCGGCGTCGTGATGCATGGTGTGTCATTCACCAAACGTTCAACCAGCGGAACTTTCGACTACGTTTGCACGTTTCTAACGTGGATTTAATTATGGCTGTCGGTGAAAGTCCACCGATCACCAGGGGATTTATATTTGAGAAAGACGTGGGCCGACACGTCGACAGTTCTGTTATACCTGGACGAACGGAATAGTCGTAAGGTGACGATGAACCCTATCACCGGTCTCGTCCGTGTCGTTAAACGAGAAGCGTCGAGGTGTCGCGTGGCGCGACGTCTTGTCCTCTATTACGTGTCTTCGCATGGGATTTCATTCGAGCCGCGCGTGATTTATACGGACGCTCGATCCTGGAGACATTTAACGATGTTTACCGGTGAATTTTCGGCTTCCAGGATCTTCCATCGGGCTCGTGGATATTCCGTGAATGGTCGACGAACGAGAACGACGACGACGACTGGGAATTCCTTTCGTCAATGTTTGCCCCATGTTGGAGTGTCGACTGTCTGCGGGCCCGCCCGAATACGCTTGATCTTCCGAATGATCTCTCTTTAGAGTCGAAAATTTAGATTGTTTTTTTACGGATAGAATATGGCGGTTCGTATGGAAAATAGTATCACCAAATGTATCCGGATTAGTTGCCAATATGATCGACGATGATAATGCCCGCACGATGTATCCAGAGAGATGATTGTCGACGATGTTACGAATTTCTCACGAACGAGCGTACACGCGGATTTTTGTTCGCAAGATGTTGCTACTTAGAGATCCAATTAACGCGACTCGACGGCGAGAAATGAGGATCCTCGGTGTCACGTGTTCGAAGCGTGCTTCATCAATAAAAAGAAAGAAAAAAAAAACTTGCCGAATTTCTAATGAAACACGACGAACCTCGGGCGTGCTGCTCATCCGAGGAGATTAATATTAATCAACCGGAGTGTTTCGGTCGCCTCGAAATATATATACATTAACGGTGAACAGTACAGGACCAGAGTTCATGATCGATGGAACAATAACTCATGTACATTCTGTTAGGATAAAATAAAAGTCGCGGAATCAGTACATATACAAATCATTTCCTATCAGTTTTAACCAATTATTTTCATTAAGTCTTCGTAGAACAATAGTTTTTTCTTTCTTTAATTATCAGATCTGGTCCCATTTAAATCGACCCTCTTGAATATCTACGAAACTGTTAACGACATTAAAAAATGTTTCACACAAAAATTAAATGGTATCAGAGGACACATTCTCGGATATCATTAACTCTTTTCTATATGAACACGTAGAGGTCATATAAAGGTCAACTTTGCATTAATTCGCCATAACTAACTTAGTACTTCATATAGGGAATAACGAGAAGCATCAAGTAGTGCTTTAAAAAATATACCATTCCATTTAAAAAAGCAATGTTGATCTTTATATGACCTCTACGCGTTCACACGGAGAAAAGTTACTCACATCAGAAAGCGTGGCCCCTGATGCCATTTAACTTTTGCCTGAAACATTTTTTAATATCGTTGAGAATTTCCGAGATATTCGAGTGGGTCGATTTAAATGGGACATCCATATTCTTGCCGACTCACGGCCAGAGACTTCTCTCTCGATCGTTCTCATTCATCGCAGTTTCCCTCTGTCGTGCGAAGAAAATTGTATCGACTCAATGCACACATGTTCACGAGTAGTGTACACACAAGATGTGCTCGAAGCGCGTATCGTAGTCGTGTCGTTAAACGAGAGTGGGTACAGGGTTTTGTAATCAGTGTCACGCCTATATTTGAGGGCAAAGATCGCATTTCTCGAATCGGGTTAGACCAGTACCTAATCCAAACGATACTAAAACGGCACGAAACGACCGGCGCCTTGGATGTTAATAACATCGCGAATGAAGTTTCAGGTTAGCCGTAACAAGTTCTTAAATTCTAAATATGTACGTATTCACGTTCGAGTGTTTACTCGTTAAATATCCGAACTAGCGCAGCTATCATTGGAAGCTGGTCTATCCACGAATAGCCTAAAATTTTCTGTGACGCGGGTGATGTTTTCCCAGACAAATCTGTTTTCACTCGCGCGTGCTACATTTCCGACGAGCGAGCCGTAAAAGCAAACAAGACCTCTTTAACGCGGGTCTGATACGTAAAGCAAATTCGACCCGATAACAAACGCTAAGAATAGCGACGGTTTATTGAGTCCATACGTATACATACATTCTTTTGTCAATGTCGTTTACGTTGATCACGTCTGATAAATCATTATCTCCACCCTATGCAAGCTGTGTCGCACAAATGCTCGATGAAAAATCTTAAAACCGTCTCCAGGATGCCCGTTGATAATTAATTTAGAAACGTTCGGTCGTATCTCGTCGTTAACAATATACAATTCTTCTTCAACACTTTCTTTCATCAAAGACAATATCCACAATTTTCTTCTTCGACACTTTCTTGTATCAACGACAATATCCAAGATTTTCTTATGCGACATTTTCTTTCATCAAAGACAATATCCAAGACTTTCTTCTTCGACGGTTTCTTTTATCAAAGACAGTATGCAAGACTTTCTTCTTCAACACTTTCTTTTATCAAAGATAGTATGCAAGATTTTCTTCTTCAACACTTTCTTTCGTCGAAGACAATATCCAAGACTTTCTTCTTTGACACTTTCTTTCATCAAAGACAATAACAAAGATTTTCTTCCCGACACTTTCTTCGAACTCTACGCTCCAGTTCGCCGAGCATCGGACAACCACCGATTAGAAATCAGCCGTGTCCACCACGTCGGTGTTGTTGGAAGCGTGAATCGAAGGAACAGGTCGACACATTTCAGTCAACGTCTTCTTCACGATGCCAAACAAAACGACTTCGTGGACAAGGAGGAAAGCCCAGTAAAGTCCCCCCCACCCAGCTGTGTAACACACATTCGTGATATACCCACCGGCCCGATGTAGGATATATCGCTGATGGAATCTTGGAATTGGCAAACTGGTCCCTGCTCTCTAGCGCATTTCCACTGCCTTTTTCGCCGCCGAGCGAGCTGATCTCGCCGCGAGTGTGCACGACCGACCGGAATCTCGAGGCAGGAAGTCAAATCAGCGAGTGGTCGGTGGCAT